AACTGAAATCTCATCTCCCTAAAGCAGATGCTATTCTGGGAAGGCCTGGCAAAACTACTGATTATTCCTTGCCTAAGAAAACCCTATGAAATTCATATGGTTACCACAGGTCAAAGGTGACTTGAGGGTGCACACATTTTAAGTTAAACTTGCTTTTTGACCACTGCTCTTGGAGTCCCCAAGCTAATGAGAATTCTAGGTCCTAAGAAATAAATTTTCCCAAACCTCCATTTTTTAGGCTAGTTTCATGCTATGTTTGTACTATCACTTTCATACTTTTATGCTAGCTTCAAGCTAACTTCTTTATATAGTTTCACAGCATATTGATACTGTTTTGAAATATACTTTCTGGTAACTTAGTTGTTGATGGGTTGCATAAAGATGTTGTAAACAAATACATGTCCTTCTGAGTAGAGGAGACCACCTTGATTTCACCCCCTCCATCTTTTAGCACATCCTTGTCCCATTGCATCCCTGCTTGGTGCTCCTGTCCTCATTGCTTCCTGCAGCCTCATCATTTCCATCCCCTGCTTGTCTTTCCTTTCCCATCGCCTAGGAAGAGTACTCCAAAGGACATCCTTATGGCTCAGAAGTGTTCCTACAGCCGCTTTGAGAACTCTGCTACAGTTTCCGAAGATCCTGAGAGAAGAGGAAGTGAGTACAGTCTTGTGGGTTTTAGAGCAAAAAAAGTGTATATGCCTTTTCTGGATTCATTCCCAGCTTTATCTCAAGTAGGATTACCAGATATGAGGGCTTGGCCCTGAGTCTCCAGTTTTTGGAGGTCATCTCCAGGCAGGATATAAGGGTGCAAATTCTCCAGTTTTGGTGGGCAAGCTGGAATATGTCCAGAGGAGGGCAGCCAAAATGGTGGAAGGTCTGGAAACCATGGAAGGAGCCAGGGTGGCATAGTGCTTTGAGTGTTGGACTATGACTCTGGAGATCAGGGTTCGATTTCTGGCTTGGCCATGAAACCTACTGACTGACCTTGGGGAAGTCACGCTCTCTCAGCCTCAGGGGAAGGCAATGGGAAATCTCCTCTAAACAAATCTTGCCAAGAAATCCCCAAGAAAACTGTGTTCAGGTCCCTGTAAGTCAGAAACTACTTGAAGGTACACAACAACTGGAAACTATGCCCTGTGAGGAGCGGCTTAGGGAGTATGTTTAGCCTAGTGAAGAAATGGTTAGGGAGTGAAATGATAGCCATGGTTAAATATTTGTAGGGATGCCATATTGAGGATGGAGCCAACCTGTTTTCTGTCACTCCAGAGGCTAGGACATGGAGTAATGGATACAGGAAAAGAGATTCCACCTAAACATTAGGAAGAACTTTATGACAGTAAGAGCTGTTCATAGGCATGGGTGATTTGGTTGTGTGTTCCTGCATGGCAGGGATTGGACTGGATGGCCTGGTGGTCTCATCCAACTCTGATGCTATGAATTTCAGACAAGAGGAAGGGGTTATGTTAATATCTCCAGTTCACCTAGTAGAAAAGCGTTTTGCTACAGTTTGCAGGCTTAATTGATATGTTGCTGAATTTGCAAAAAATCTCCAGGGAGGTTATGTATTTACTTAATTAGGTTCCTCTTTCCTTCTTGTTCTTGTAGTGGCTTGGCCTCTATTTTGTTCTCTGTCCATCTTCTGTTTAGAAGCAATTCTTGTAGTGTACCTTCAAGTCCTTTCCAATTTATGGTGACCCAAAGATGAACCTATAATGGGGTTTTCTTGGCAAGATGCCTTGGACTTCTTCTGAGACTGAAAACATATGACTCAGTCAAGGTCATCCAGTGGGTTTTCATGGCTGAGCAGGGATTCGAATCCTGGTCTACAGAGTTGTAATCCGATGCTGAAACCACTACACCACCTTGACTCTCCTAGACGTAAATCACTAGATTAAATAATCCTGATCCTATCTCCCTATGTAAATAAGAAGGCATAATCCCTTCATTTCATTTTGTGAAAAGAGCCACTTCTGCCCTAATTTCCAAGCAGGAAAATGTGTGTGTGTGTGCTGGAACAAGAAGTTGTGAGCAAATGTAGTTTATACTGACTATATAATGTTTAATGGCATCATCAGGGGTTGTCCTTAGGTCTCAGTTTTTGGAAAACCTCGGGGCCTGGCATGATCCTGACCTGGCAACCCTAATCTCAACGGATGGGGACAAATAAGTCTTGCTAAATACCTCTTGGAATTTTTGCTTCTAGAGCAGAGGCAACCAGATATGCTAAACATTAAGTTACAGAGTCCCTGTGAACACATGCTCAGCCAAGCCAAGGATTGCTATTAGAATCAAGATTAAATGCCCGAAGACCAGTCACAGAACACCTCAACCTGCCTGGATATTCCATTTTAAGTATCAGAATGGCAGTCCTTGAACAAAAAAAAACTTCAAAGGGAGGATGGAAAGAGAAATATCTGAATTAAGGTATATTCTCAAGTTCCAGTCCATTGACAGATGGTTTGGACAAAGACAATGTATTCCTGACACACTACACATACTACAGTACTAGTTAATATCCCAGCCACAAGTAGGTTCTCATGCTCACTTTATTACATCTCTTTTCTGGTTCTGAACCCATATAAATATACCATTTCAAGAACTCCCACTACTATTCATACATTTATCTACTCACCATGGCTTTATGTGGATCCTATCTCCCACCTTCGTCTTTTAACAACCATTACTGAAACTATCACCATACTCACAGGTTTTGCATTTATTACTACTGACATGCTACACTCCATCCATTGGTATGTCTGTCCATAGGTGCTTCAGTCCATACATCAGATGAAACAGCCTGAGCAGATGGGGCAAGAGAGCATAGGCTGAGCCTATGCTATCCTGCCCCTAGTATTCACCTGGCTTAGTCCCTGGGATAGTCCCTGGGTTGGCACTTGAATGGGTGGGTGTTCACACACTTGTTCCTGCAGCAACCCAGGAGCTGGGGAGCTCCTTACCTTTCGGATGGGCGACCTATGTCCCCCGTTGCGCTGTCTTATGTGGAACCAGGGCACCTGGCTGCACCCATGTGGCCAGGCACCCTATTTCTATGTCAGAGGGAGTGACTGGGGGCCTTCTCAGGTGGATTGCCTGTTGGAAAGGGAACGAGAGCAAGGGGGAGCTGTCTAAATAGTCTGGTTTTGCTGCGGAGTTCAGTTACTCCACACAAAACTAGGGCTATTTTCCTTGGAGCAAAGGTTCTTTACCCCAGGGTCAGACTGGACCTTTTGGATTGGTCCCAATCCTGCCACAGGTGTTTTGGACTATGCCATCTAAACTAGATGATGCAAGGCTGTGGGGAAACTGGCCTGTGTGGGCAACCCCTCAGAAAGCTTATGCTATAAACAACGTTCTCAGTCTCAAACGTGCTGCAAGATCCCTTTGTACAGTCAGCCCTCCATATCCACGGATTCCTTATCTGCAGATTCAAGCATCCACAGCTTGAAAATATTTTTAAAAATATATAAATTCTGAAAAGCAAACCATGATTTTGCCATTTTATGTAAGGGCACCACTTTACTATCCATTATATTTAATAGGACTTGAGCATCCATGGATTTTGGTATCCATGGGAGGTCCTGGAACCAAACCCCAGCGGATACCAAGGGCCCACTGTACACTATTTGCAAGATAGTTTGTAAGAGGAAATATTGTGGAAATAGGTAGTATCTGTATTGCTTAAATGGTTATATGTACCTGTTTTTGTCATGTTTCTCTAGATGACTTGAAAGATATCCCTGGGCTGCCAAAAAAGCCTCATGAATCAGAGAACTGGTATGACATCTCTCTTCTACTTTCCTGCCCATGACTTTTGATCATCACAATTCCAGTCAAGTCACAGCAGCCAGAAAGCTGTTTTAGTGTAACTACAAGGAAGAGCAGAACCTACTCCAAGGGTGGGCAACTATGGGCAGTTAGGAGGGACACATTGGCTCCTCCTGTAACCTTGGAAAGCTGCACCCCCCACCTGACTTTTTTACTTAAAAAAAACTAAAACCCTACATCTCCTAGGGGAAATGAAGGTGTTATTTTGCTTTCCCCCCTAGTTACAACAATAACAACAACAACCTATCTATCTATCTATCTTGCCTGTCTCTCCCTATGTATTGAGGCGGGGAACAACAAATACACAACACCAGTTAAGACATATGAATTAAAACATGCAACAGTTTAAAAGGACGAATAAGACATACACATTTTAAAACAATTTACATTTACAATTCATCATCTAAATTCACAATTTAAAAATCATCTGTATAAGCCAGAAGAGACTGGTCTTCAATGCTGTTTTAAATTTGGATAGCGTATTCAGCTGTTGAATCTCCTTTGGCAGGTCATTCCACAATCTAGGGGTGGCTGAAGAAAACGTTCTCTGGCTGACAATTGCCAACTTAGGGGGGATTGCAGACTGCCAGAAATAGTGCAAATTGAGTCCACTTTTAGGGTTAGGGTTAGTACTAGGGAATCGTGGGAATTGTTTTTTTCCCCTGAGACATTGAGCCTTCTCTGTCAGAGTGCTCTGGTGCCACAATAAAATACAGTTTCCATGATTCCCTAACCCTAATCCTAAAAGTGGACTCAATTTGCACTATTTCTGGCAGTTTGCAATCCCCCTTAGTCCTGGCTGATTGGATTAAGGGGGGTTGCAGACTGCCAGAAATAGTGCAAATTGAGTTCACTTTTAGGGCTAGGGTTAGTGCTAGGAAATCATGGGAATTGTTTTTTTTTTTCCTGAGACATTGAGCCTTCTCTGTCAGAGAGCTCTGGTGCCACAATAAACTACAGTTCCCATGATTCCCTAACCTTAACCCTAACCCTAAAAGTGGACTCAATTTGCACTATTTCTGGCAGTTTGCAACCCCCCTAAATGTCAGCCAGATGACCTGAGTGTATGAGGTGGATTATATGGGAGCATGTGATCCTGTAGGTAAACCTGGACCCAAACCATGTAGGGCCCTAAAGGTAATCAGTACTTTGTACCTTGCCCGGAAACTAACTGGCAGCCAGTGGAGTGATTTTAATTTTGATGTATTATGATCACATCTGGATGTCCCACTAATCAATCTAGCTGCTGTGTTTTGAACTAACTGAAGTTCCTGGAGGTTGCCCAATGTACAGCACATTGCAATAGTCCAGTCTTGAGGTTGCCAGCACATGCACTACCATCTTTAGGTCCACCACCACTAGGTAGGGGCCCAACTAGAGTAACAGCTGAAGCTGATAGTAAACACTCCTGGCCATTGCATCTATCTGAGCTTTTTGTTTGCCTTGTCAAGAGATAGGCATTAGGGTCACCATAATTCAACATAAAGGCACACAACAACAATTGTAACATTCATTTTGAAGACACTCTAACCCCAACCAGATCTTTTAATTGTAATATCCGTTTTCAAAGTTCCTTAACCTGGCTTCCCGGAGGTTAACCATGGTACAAGGAAAGTAGCACCTTAACCCAACAATCTTCAGTACTTTCTGTTTCCAGACCCATTTACCTCTATTAACCTTTAAAGCCCTAACTGGTTTAAAACCAGGTTATGAGAATGTGTGTCTCCATACATATATCTTCCCCAATCATAGGCATCTTCAGAAGCCTTTCTCAGTGTGTACCCACCAAAGGAGTTGATGTAAAAAGCTATCAGAAGGAGAGCCTTTTTCTTGGTGGCAGAAGGCAACCTTTTATGCTTGTGGTTATAGAATGGCCTTCCAAGAGAAATTCACTTGAAACCTATGTTGTGTTCTTTTCAGCAGTAGGTGAAGAAATACTTGTTATGCCAAGGATTTTTTTCCTAAGTTTATTGAGAATATACATTAAGCACATGGAGCATTTTTAAAAGCAGTGTCTAGAAACATGTATTGTTGTTGTGTGTCTTCAAGTCATTTCTGACTTATGGTGAACCTAAGGTACATCTATCATGGGGCTTTCTCGGCTTGAGTGTGTGACTCACCCAAGGTCACCCAGTGGGTTTTCATGGTTTAGCGGGGAATCGAATCCTGATCTACAGAGTGGTTGTCCTATACTCAAACCCCTACACCATACTGGCTTTCAGAAGGAATATATACTTTCCACCACTAGCTATGGTGACTTCTCTGATTTATCAGGATGGTGTCTTCTTTTTTTCCAGTAGTCTGGATAGCAGTACCATCAACCAGCCAGACCACCCAGCACCAGCCCTCCCCAGACAAATGGGAGATGCAGTTCATCCTCCTGAGGAGCCTCTACATTCAAGGGTGGACCTCAAAACTCCTGCTGCTCCAAATCTTCCGGAAAAGACTGAGAACTGTGGTGCATTCGCTGTCGTAAACAGCCATCTCTCCTGTAAAAGTGACTATCATGGAGACAGCTTCCCTCTACAGCAGAACAAGAGATGGTATAATTTGACCAGGAATTCATGGGAGGTGAAGCCACTCTGCATGTTAGCAGGACCATATGAAGCCAAATGGATCCACCACAAGTATTTGTATAGCAACACTAGACCTTGGTGAGAGAAAGGTCCTGAAATCATGGCTGTATTGTTAAGTCAACAACAATCTTGCCAATATGAACAAAGGTGCTAAATCGGCAGTCTTACATCTTGTTAACAGTTATTGCTTTAGATCAAACATGGGTTTCTTCCCCCTTTCCTGCTATTAGATTAGGCCAAAGTGCCAACATGTCTCTTTATATATCTTATATTTCCTGCCTTGGATGAGCCTAGTAACAAGTATACCATTCATTATACCTCTAACTCACCTGTGGGAAATCTTTGTGCCCCCCCCCCGACGTTTTGGATTTCAACTTCCAGAACTCCCAGCCAATGTGGCTAATTGTAAAGGATTATGGGAATTGTAGCCCAAACATCTGGATGGCTCAAGCTTCGTCTCCCCTCTC